CTTTCTTGTCTTCTGTCAATAAAGGGCAGGCACAGGTTAGCCAGACATCAGTCTTCATTCTGTGTGTCCACAGTGTGGATAGAGATGGCTTTTGGAAGAACAAATTGGACTTGTCCAAGGGTAAGTAGTAAAGAGCCACAACTCAGAAGTTGGTCAAGCTCAAGGAATTTCTCCTTAGAGCTGGCTCTGTGAAAATGCAGAAAGTGAGTTTTGGTTATAATCTTCTGGGGACTGGCTAGCTAGCCAATACTTTGGAGTTCTAAAGAGGCAGAATCTAGTATTAACCTCCCTTGAGTAAGAACAGAAAACACTGTGGGATATCAGTGTGTATGCTTTAGGGCTTGGTACCAAGTGCCAACTACTCTTTACAAGATAAATCTCCCATGCCCTTTTTCAGAGCTCAATCTGCCTGCGAATTTGTCTGGACTCCATTCCTGGAAGTACCATCTGCTAGTGATTGTCCTACCATCTGACCATTTACCCTTTGTCAACTGCTCTCCTGTGGCCAACCCCACTACCAGTAGGAGTCTACCCATTGTCCAATTTGGAAAAACTGAGTCTGAAGAGCCACACAAGAGAAGAGAGGGAGGAGGGAAACACTGTGATGTACAGGTCCAATGCCAAGATATGTTGTGGGAAGGCCTGGAATCTTTGCTAAGAACCTGGGGAGGGAGCATGTGGCTAAGCCAGAGCCATATTGCATCCGAGGAAGCCTGATGGTTCCACAAATAATATTGATGCCTTTTGTTTGGAAACTTTTGTGGCGGCTTTCTACTTTCCAACAAGCCATGGCAAAGGCTGGGCCTCCCCCAAACCACTTTGCCTTTTGCACAGTCCCTGGCCAACTGTGCAGGCAGATGAGGCCCCTCAATGCTAATGAGGATAAAGCTGGCATTCCAGAGGCACCCAACTCTGGGAATATGCCTTTGTTGCTAAGGAGCATTGGGACTGTAGCTGAAAGGTTCATGAAAACAGGGAGTGAGCAGGGGGAGGGGGAGAAGAAAGGCATGCTCTTGTTTCCAAAGCCTCACAGATATTCAGACAGAACCAAAGCTATCAATTTTTGGATCCCAGTTAGAATATCACCCTTACTGTTGCTCTTAATGATCTTTGGGAATCCCTCAGAAGAGTTAGAGAGCACTTGCCAAACTGGACTGTGCTGTTGCTTCTGTTAGGCTTTTGTTTCTGTGAACACACTACCCCCAGGTGGCTGGAGAATGCCCTTTTTTTTTCTGGTTCAGAGGGGTGATGGAGCTCAGAGGAAGCAGCTAGAGTTCGCTAATGTTCATGTGTGAGCTTCATTCAGTAGGTTGCTTGTCAGTGGTCTACTTGGTGAAGGTCTACTTGGGCTTTGGGATGGTGACAAAGATGAAAGGCTCTGCTCCAGCTTGGATTTGCTGCCTGCCAGGCTTGCTGGAGACTAGGGTCATTCATACTGAAGTGTTCTGCAGGTTGTTTGCTGTCTGTGTGGCTTGCATGGTATTGCCAGACATGGTGTTTACACAACAATTTTCCAGTTCTGGCTAAACTATTCTTACTAGGGCTGTTAGAACTTATGTGACTACAGTAATACCTTGAGCTTAACTTTCTCAACTGTAGGATAGGATATAGTAATGCCAACCTATTTTTGGTACAAAGAAGAGCAATTACAAGCAGGAGAATAATATAAAATACAGTTTCTGCTGACCAGGAAGGACCTCTGTGAATGAGCCAACTGCTAGTTGGAATATCTGGAAAAGACTAATGATTAGGCCTGTTGCTTGAAGGCAAATAGAAATGCTGTATAAAAATAAAGTACATCCTTTTTTTATCCTCTGTTGTGTGGAAGATATAGTGCTGAGCTATTGATGCAGTATCTCATTTAATATGAATTCATTGATGTTATTCTGGTAGATAGTGAATTGCTCAAGGCTGTATGGTATGAGAAAGACTTCCCATGGTCGGATAATACCTCTAACTTCTACTTTTCCACCTTTAAAACTTGCAGTTTTTGGAAAGTTAGGATGGAAACACACACACACACACACACACACACACACACACACACACACACACACACACATTGGATTGTCTCTAAGAAGCTTATTGCCTACTGTCAGCCACTCAGGAAGGTTCTACTGCAGGAACTTATTAATCAACAGGCACTAGGCTGTACTTCTTCATATTTATTAGAATTCCACAGTGACACACAGGGAATATACTACTATCTGAGAATAACAGAAAACAACAGAGGTCACAATGACATTCTTAAGTATAATGACATCATAGCCTATTGATACTTAGTCCAGTTGTTGCCTTCATAACAGACTTCATATAACCTGTAATGTCACATTGTTACCATGAAAAATATGCTTCTTTCTGAAGTTAAATTTTGTGTCTTTAATTTTCACTCAGACAAAAGTAATGAATATATACACATAACACATACACACTCAGAAAGACAGATAGACAGACAGACAGACACACACACACACACACACACACACACACACACACACACAGCATTCCTTTCTTGCCAGAACTCTAACCATTCTATGGGCATATGGCCTGACTTTTCCTGGAATCATATCAGGTAATTTTAGTCAGAACCACCATCACCATCTCTGATGCCTCTTTTACATGTATTCATTCCTCTGCCTTTTTTTTTTTTTTTTTTAAATCTTTGTCTGTAAATTCTTATTTCCTCTTGGTATATTGGAGTTGAGCCCAATGTCTCTCCTCTAGGGTACAATTCCCTTGAAGTAGTCCCTATGCCACCATGATAGTTCTAAATAAAGCCTGTCTTATTGTTCTTTTAAATAACATACATTCTATTAATTCTTGGAGAATTTCATACAATATATTATGATCATATTTACCCCTTTTCCTCCCTGTAGGACTTCACAAATCCACCTTCTCTCCCTCCTCCCACACTACATGTATCCATTTGTTTTAAACACACACACACACACACACACACACACACACACACACACACACAGATGCACATAGACAGATACACACAGCTTGTGGGGTAAAATAATGAAGAACTCTAGGCAGGTGATGATTCAAAAGCAATTGTTTGGAACTAGAAGAACAAAATGTATATCAAAATTTGTTCTGGTATGTTAATGGCCCAACTCCCCTCTTTTACTCCACAAAGACCATTTGTTCATCTTTTTTTTTTTTTTAAAGATTTTCTGAGAGTTTATATTTCCTCCATGCAAAGAGCTGCAAAAATGGCATTGCTTCCAGTGTTTATCACACTCTTACAAGGAAGTCTAAATTACTTTCTTCTTGTAGATAAAGAAACTTAAGTTCAGGGAGATTAAGCTACTGCCAAGTATACTGTGTATTGAATGGCTTTTAGCTGTTCATAGAGCCTGTTCCTCTTCTATTTTTGGTGTAATCTGAATGGTGATGGTGGAAACTGTGGGTTATGATTTGGCCATGGTTTTCCTCCATGAAGAAGTATTTTTCAGCCAATACTATGGAAGTACTGGTTACACTCTACTTGAAGCCACAAAGTTCGGGGAACTCCGATTGCATAGCAGTCAGTGTAAAATGAACCTCATCCATTTACATCAGATCAAGAACTCTATTGGATGGGGATAGAAAATACTGGGCAAGGAAAAACTCTCGCTGTTGAGGATTATGATTTAGTTTATTAATCCACTCTCAAATCAGGTTTAGAGCTCTACCCCTGCTGCCTCTCCTGTCCACCTGCCCAGAGATAAAGGGTCTATTAGGGTTCAGAGTTCCTGGTGCACTCTTTACTTTTCTAAGACTATTTGCTTATCTGTGAGTGGACCTGTGAGACATATTACTGAAATATCAAAATTGGGGAAGTGAAGTGTCACCTCCCCAATACTTAGTAGTTATATTGAACCATTAGACCGAAAACCCTCAGAGTGAGGAAGCTATTTCTGTTTTTACTCTGTTAACTAATAAGGCAGGTCTAGGAGTTCCAGAAATTAAGTTGGTAAAGACTAAAGAGTTTATTTTAATGGTATCTATGAACTTTTTTTTCTTGATAGTTTGTTCATAAGAAACCTCACTAGAAAATGAAAAGTATGGCATGCTCAGTGGTCATTTTTTTTTATTGTTCCCTGACACAACCTAACTTATTCATCTTACTCCCTATCACATTCAAGGCCAGCATCCAGATCAGTGGATTAGTGATTATATTGGTGATGGTCCTGGGGATATCTTATCTCTGAAGTCTTCACTGAACCTATGGCTATCTCTGTTGTACTAAGAAAGGGAGGAGCCAGAGAATATGTTCAAGACAGAACTCTGTGGTTGGTGGAAACTTTATCAGGCTTTCTTGCCCTGAGAGACCACAGCATGTCCTGCAGCCCAATCCTTGGCATCCTTCCTTGAAACTTCTTTCAGAGAGTCTGGGAATTATCCCTGGAGACATTTTTCACATTGCCCTGGAGAAGATATTGGATTTATATAGAAAACACTAACTTGAAATTATCATCCTTCCTGTTCAGTGTCAATACTTTTATTTTTCTTATAGTGGACATCCTTCCTAGAATAGTGACTGACATATGGACCTATTTACCTAATGGGAAATTATTTATTGAAGCTCTCAGAAATCAGAGGCAGTAAGCTTACAAATTTAAGGCCATTCTGGACTATATATTTAGACCCTATTTCAAAGCCAAAGCCAATGGAAACTCCTATTTAGGTATACTCTGCATCATGCATTCTGTATGCTTTTTGACACATTAACTCATGTTGTCTACAAAAACAACAATGTAGAAAAAATACCAAGCACATGGATAATAAACACTATAAGAACAGGAGCTTTAAGTATTGGACTCTTGTTACATTAGAAGAGAAACCTGAACAGCTCTTCATCATAGCTAAGTCCAAGTTAAAAGTATCTAGAACAGATACATCTGTCTCAGCTTAAACAAAGCCTCTACCCCAGCACTCAGACTGAGGAGAAGCTCAAATCCAGGTAAAGGGGAGAGGAAAGAAGCATGTGCTCTCACAGTGTATGTTTGACCTCACAGTTCCTTTAGGTACCGCAGTGCTGGCTCCAAGATAACATTTTCTCCAGAACGGAATCTCTTCAAGGCCTGGTCAATTCTCTGAGGACTCAAGGACAGGTTGTATATGAGATTGTAGTTGTGGATGAGGCGTCTGGCTCTCTCCTTCTCCAGAACTCCTGTAATGACATAATGACATTGGTAAATCAAGTTTTTTTTCTTTTTTTGGAGAATTGAGCAAAGATACATGTTAGCTTGAACAAGTTGTGGGTAGATGCTAAAAGCTAATTAATGTTTTAGGACTTCAAATTTCTTAAAATCCACTTGGTTTAGAGTCTTGGTACTGCTTATAGCTCTTAGGAAGTGACTTTGGGGTAGATTAGAGCAGATGGATCCAGTAACACCACACATATGTTCTAAAAAATTTAACCTTATTCTTTATATCCAGACATTTAAGCGCCACTTTTCAAAGAAGTGGAGTGTGTGTTAAAATGTTCCCAAATATTCTTTTTTCTTATCAAAGGACCTATGGATGTTCCAAAATATGTAGGTGTTAAACTGCTCTGTCCTGACACACATTTCCTGTGACTTTCTCCAGCTAACCTGTGTGATAGAAATGTGGAGGGGCAGCAAGCATCCTGCGACCCATATGTCATATGCCTCAATGATAACAATGTCAGCATGCTTTCTGCATGAAGGCTGGGTGGTGATAGTTGCAGAGAGGACTGTACGTGTTGGATCACAGTGTTGTTAATGATCACTAACTGGTTCATAAGCCTTAATTGGAAGCTTAAATGTGTTAGGTGCTGCTCTTAGAACACAGAGAAATACTTCTGTTGCCAATGGAAGTTCTCCAAGCCACGAGGAAGATAAGTTATGGGAAAAAATTAACCAAAGTAGAACAATAAATACAATAATGAATATTTTTGTTCAATCACTTGCTTGAGAGTGTTCAAAATTAACTACTATATCACATGAAATGAAGGTAAAAGTTTAAATGTGGGTTGTATTATCTGTTACTTGTGTTCTTTGAATTCTGAAATCTGCCCTCCAGAAAAGCTTTCCAATGTTGTTAAAGGTTAAAGATGCAACCCTTGTGTCCTGGTTAGTTTTAACTTTCATCTTGACACGATCTAGGATCATCTTGGAAGACTCTTAGGAATTAACTAGATCAAGTTAGCCCATGGGCATGTCTTTGGAATTTTCTGGATGGTTCATTGATGTAGGAAGAGCCACTTCATTGTGGGAGGCATTATTTTTAGGCAGGTGGTTCTGAGCAGTCTTAATAATGGGTAGAATTAACTGATGGAGTCTGGGAAAAATGTCATTCTCCTTCTCATATGTCTTGGGTATTAGCTGTAGGGAGACATCAAGACCACCTATGTTTGAACTATGGATTAAATTCCTATTGACCACTATGTTATCACTTTGAGCTTGAGTTATTCCTCTGCAAAGAAGGGCACTACCCCTTCAGCTTCTGGCCAATATGAAAATTTAGAGATGAAAAGCATGAAATATCCAGGCCCATGGAAAGAATGTCCTTTAAGGCATTTTGCCCCCTTGGCTTTTTATTTTCTATTTAGACTTTGGTTCACTGAGTGAATTCTTAGTATACCATTTATTCTTTCTTTAGAATACTTGTTGTTCCTTGGTCCTTCTCTTCAAGGCTATTTTCTTCACAAGCCCCATTAGAGAATAAGCTCACTAGGTTCCCAGAAACACTGATTCTATGATGGATGGTCTGCCTGGATTCTGGATAGGGAATGCACTGGCCTACTTAGCTCCTTGCACATAATAAACAAAGTGAGTCATCTGTGGGCAGAGCAGGTGTTGTCAGCTCTACATCTAGAAAAGGCCTTCATGGTCTATGAAAATGGCTAATGAACCAACAGCGTGACCTTAGTTAATCCTCTTTCCCATTAAAGACAGTTGTAGATGTTCCCAGATCTGGCGGATGCATTCTTTGGCTGTTGAGCAACTAGCAAACTTCATAGAAACGGAGAAAACAGGCATAAACAGTGAAGGGGGCATGAAAAAGGCATTGCAAAGCCATCAGAATCTGTCCCTAAAGTCAACAAAACTACATTTTTCCCTTAGACCATTTCATTCCTATGAGAAAGGTCCAAATCTTTGGGGAGTTTCTTAGCAACTAAGTTTAGGATCTAGCATCCATTATCATGACTTGATGTTTTATTTAGGAATGCCTTTTCTTTTCACCAAGTGTATTACTAGGTCCAGGGTTACTTCAATAACCTTTTAATCTCCAATCTGCTCCAGAGAAATCTTCTATAAACGATACATCTCAGCTTTCCTGATGACCTTCTTTGGTTGAACTTTTGATGGATTCTATTAAAGGAGGAAGCATCCTCCTCGCTTCCAGTAGAGTCTCAACTTTACTATGCATCTAATGACCTACTGTAAACTTCCAGGTCTGTCTTGTTCATTCTTTTCTGTGTCATGAGTCAGTGGAACTCCTAACATTTGCAGAAGATGGTTTCAACGTAGAATAACTTGTTAATATCACCTTGAATCAAGTTTCAGGTCCAGCTCTGTCTCTCCAGTACTGTCTCTGGTACTTCAACTCACACTATATGCTAGGTTTCCTTTCATATCTTGTCTTTTTCCTTTTTATATTAGCAATTTCAATTGATATATATTTATGTAGCATCATGTGATGTTCTGCTAAAAATCAACTTTATATAACTTAATCGGCATTGGCATATTTATTTCAAATATTTATAACATTTTATTAGGAAATCATCCAGAATTCCTTCTTTTCAGATTATTTGAAAGACATAGTATATTAGAACTCCTTACCACATTTATTTATTTAGGAAGTATTTTTTAATTTAATTTTTTTTTATTCATTTCACATGCCAACCACAGTTTCCCCTCTCCCCCCAACACCTTCCTCCAACCCACCTATTTAATAGTAACTGAGAATCTCATGTCTTTCCTTTGGACAACTTAATTCCTAATTCTTCCTTAAATCATAAAGGTTGTTATGTATTATCTATTTACCTTTCCTTTTTAATGCTGTTAACTACTGTAAGTATCTGCCCCTTACCTAAAAGTCTGTCCTTTGAGGCCAGAGACCATGCCTCATTCTTTCTGGTTTTCTTCCTGGTCTAGCCACTAATATAGTTCTGGGACCATTAACACAGCTTTAATGAGTATTTCACTATTCAGCTAGCTTAATATTGTATGTAAAGTTTTTAGTTCTTTCTAAATTCCTTTTTATTCTTTCTTTTCATATAATTATTAAAATATTGTCATATTATGCTATTGTATTTCATGAGGTCTAAAATTGTATTGGAAAGTCAAAGCAGAAAGACTGAACACAAAGGAAATGAAGATATCACCATTTTCATATGAGTGCTTCTACAGGACATGCTTGTACTCATCCTTTAGTGATAATTTTAACATTAATAAAACCCTAGCTGATCCCACAAAAGGATTCTCCTGTCTCTGAAAGCCCACATGGCACAATCTAAGAACACGTGTAGCCTTGCATGTTGAATTTAGTTACTTACACACATGAAATCATTCATTTTCTCCAAATTAAAAAAATCTGTTAAAAATTATGTTAGTTTTAAGCAGTAGAAAAATACAGTATACTAGTGAGAAGGCAATGAACTTTCAAGTAAAAAATACATGATATCAAATATGGTAGAAGCTATTGAAGAAGCTGGCAAAGCCAGATGAAGTCTGACCTAGATCCATTTTAAGCCCCAGAGAACAGTGACTGGATTCCTGCATCAGTAATAATGTGGAGCAGAGCAGGCAGAGAGAAGACCCAGACAAATGGGAAACTAAGGCATGCCTGAGCAAAGGCAACGACCTATTACGACTGTGTGAGGAATGCTAAAAAAAAAAAAAAAATAGAAGATGGTAGAAAAGACAGCTCAGGTTGATAGGCACCAGATTTTGACTTGCTAAGTAGTTTGGAGTTTGTCTTGGAAGCAGAAGAGTGTTAGGGGAATTTCACAATTGAAGCATTTGTCAGACTGGTGAAAGAGTTTGGGGGGGGGAGTAAGAAAGACAATTCCATTTTCAGTCACCTCGTGTGGAATCCTTTGACTTATCTTTGTGTTTTCTTATTGTGCCAGGCACCTGTTTTCTAGATAAACAGTACAATTTAATTATGAAATGAAAACAAGCCAGACATTCATGTGTAGGCTAGAACACAGAGAGGCTAGTGGGTTTTGGAATTTGTACTTTACCTGTGTTGCTCAGGTCACAAGTGTAGAGGGCGCTCTCCAGCTTCCTGAACCTGTCTATCCACAGCTCAGGTTGTTCAGCCTCCTTTTCCATGGCTGGACTCAAAACAGGCAGGGAGGCTGGCCTATTCTTAAAGGACTTCACAGGATCTTGTGGGTCTGAAGTCATAGCGTTATGTTTTTCTGGCCACAGATTCCCTTCTGGAGTTTTCTACCAAAACAACATAAGCATCTCACTGGCACACATTCACCACTAAGAACTTCTCCAGACTCTTGGCCAAAGATGAGGCCACACAAGTAGAAAGATTTATTGCAAGGTCTGCCTTTGGTAAACAAGGAATCGTCTCACATATTGGGCAGCACAAGGCTCTAACTGCCAAGTTTTCGCTGAGCGCGACCATGGTGAGTTTTCTCTCTTTGGGAAAGATGACATCATTACTTTTTGTCCAGTTTTCTTCTTTGAAATAGGCATAGAACTTAGGACCTGGCTGGCAGATCTGATGTCCTTCTCTAAGGGCACCAGAGGAATCTCCATGGAATGTGCTTCTGGAAAAAGTTACTGTCTCCTTAGTGGCTTGTGGTGAATGAGTGACTGCCACAATAATAATGTTGCCTTTGGCCTGTGGGCTGAGGTTAAAGAATGCCTAAGCTTCTTTCTGACTTTAACAAAGGAAACAGAAGCTCAGAAATGAGGAAAAACTTATAAGATAGGGCAGACTTTGCACAAGACTCAAAACTGTAAGCAGGGCATAGAGTTGATGCTTAGCTCAGTTCAATATTCTAGTCTCATGCTCATTACAGAAAAAAAAAGTGCTTTTATGATGAAATAGGCAATTGAGTCCCTATGGTGACAAGTAAGGCATCCATCCTGACAGCTTCCTTGTGTAGAAGGGGTAAATGTCTGTGGCCTGATTAGCTTCTTGCCTATCCAGTCCACATGGCTATAGGAAGAAACTTTTTTTTTAATGAGTGTGTTGAGGCTGGGCATCCAATACAAAACAGGTAGTGTACCTATTGTCCAGGAGAGAGGGGCAAGGATCATGAAGCTCACAGTAAAGAGAAGAAGAAAACTTGCCCATGTTTGACTCCTTGGTTTAGTTCACATTACACTTCTGTCCATAGTTAACACAGTAAAATTTCCTTTTCTCCAGTTATTTAAGCTAGTAGAGTTGGTTCTGTTCATTGCAATATAAAATGTTCATAACCAACCATAAAACAATACCTCTGATTTGTACCATCTGTAGTCTTTTAACCTTTAACTATCTGAAGCTTTGCAGTTTTCCCCTAATGTAGAACTTGTCATGTGTAAGTGGTGAACACCCCAGAATCCTGCAGAACAGCGGTGGTAACAAGCTTGTCTCTGAGTTGGCGAACAGAAATGGATGAGGTTGCTCCCAGGGAATGTGAAGAATTTTTTGTTTGAAATACTAGATCACTGTGTGAAATTGCACTGACACAGTTGACAGGCAACTGGTAAATTTTCAGGATGAATATAAAATAATTCCATTTTGATAAAATTCATTTTGGGACAAAGAATATTTTCATGTAGAAAAACAAAATAATGATTCTTATGCTTTTCTTTAGAGCTTTGTGCAACTTTAGAAATGGTGGAAGCTTTAGAAAAACCACAGATGTTTTTATCAAAAGTGTTCTCTTTTATTTATTTAATTTCTTTGGATACTTCCTCACTGTTAAAGACAGGGCAAGTAGAGAGTAGAGACTTCTGTGAATCCAAATTAGGCTCAGTAAAGGAGCAAGTAACTAACATACCCTATATCACTTTTCTGTTCTAAATTCCTTGCTTGGCCCAAGGGACATTAATGTTCTTTTCGCTTAATTCTCCACTTATCCCTTTCAGTTGTACATGGGCATAGTTTTCTCCAGGCACATAAAGTCTCACAACTGGAGGTGCCTTTTGTTTTTATCTCTTTATAATTTTATTTCATTAGTTACAGAAGCCCTTTTGGAAGCTTATGCCTAGAATGATAGGGCTCCTATACAACTTGCAAAACAATTCTCATATCCTTCTTCTTGTACTGCCTTCCCTTACAGCCCAGGATAGGCAGGAGTTTATTCTTTGTTACCTCTTTGCCTTTTCAGGCACTTATCACTGAGTACTTGCATAAGTATCTATTGCCATAGAGATAGCTATGGATATATCCTCAAGGTCATGAATGAATGAATGAATGAATGAATGAATGAATGAGTGAATTATTCTTCTGGTATCATAACAAAGTTGTTTTATTAATCCCCTGCTTCATCTCCTTTTTAAAAAGGGGGCAATAAAGACTGCTTATACAAGGATTCAAGAAGAGTCAATTATTACAGAAATGCAAAAAAGAACCCTTCAACAGGAGGCAAAATAAAAGAGCAAAATGTATTTTTTATAATCGTATTCACAACAGACTTAACACTCAAGGAGAAAAGCATTTGTGATTGTTTTTTGCATGGCAAGATGCTTGCCAAAATGGATACTGTTTTCTAAAATATTTCCATGTGTGAATTGCATGAAGGGGCCTCACATCATTTTAACATGAATTGTATTCTAATCTGGACCTTTCAAAACAACAACAATAGAAAAATTCATGCTGCTTTTCAGTTCTGCAATTCTCCTGGCTAAATGCTGAGAATATTAAGATGGATTTTTTTTTAACCATTTGCTAGATATTCTTTTTCTTCTTTGTTGCTTTTCTTTTTAAATCAGAGAACTTGTTATGTTTTAAAATGTGATTCCTTGGTGGAAAGTTTGACCTCAGGTTCTGGAAGCTGGAGTTCAGATGTTAAAATGGTCTCCTGATGACCCTTTAGTCTGATAACAGTTGGTAGTCACAAGCTTTGTGAGCTCACCTGTACACATGCTACAAGAAAAATTGTGTTGGGCACATGGCATGCCCATCACTGAGCAAGGGTCAGAGGCCTCCACATACTAATGAGAATGGGAGTTCAACCATACTCTAGGAGTTAATCTGCTTCCCTTTTCTATGTGAAGCAGGTGCTAAAGGCATTCTTACACCAAGGCATAGGGTGGAAATAAAGGACCCATAAAGTAGGGTAGGCTTCCAGCAGAGCAAGAGGTGGGAGGATGGAGTCAGGGTCCTCTAGGCCCTCCCAGGAGCTCTACATGCGCAGCTGCATACCACATGTTTAGTTTTGCTTTGGGGTCTCTCAAGGATTTCAACCAAGTCCTCTGGGGTTTCCTTTTCATTCTTTCCTAAACAAGAAAAGAGAAAGAGAGAAAATTTGGTTGAATTTGGTATACATATTTAGTACATACATACACATGAGTCAAGGGTACTCTGGCTGTGCTGGGTGTTTTGCATTGTGTTAAGCAATGGGGACACTTGGTGGATAAAAGGACAGGTTTCTACCTTGTGGATTTCAAAATAGGGGAGAGAGTGTTATTAAATAGTTTCTCAAACACAAAGGCATGGCAACAGTGCCCTCGAGGCAGAGGTGTGGATCAGCCAGGGTATAACCCATGGAAGGCCCTGAACCAGAAAGGCCTATGCAGCTTAGTGAGGCAGACAACCTCTTTCTGCAACTCTGTTTCTTAGGACACAAATGCTGCACACCCTTTCCCATCAGATGTTTGGGCACCTCCCATTGCCAGGCTGTAGGCTGCTGCCTTCATGAATGAAGACATGCCTTCATGGATGAAGACAACTTGCTTTAGATGCAGAACAACCAGTCTTCTGCTCAGTCTTCCCCAACCCAAGGCAGAACTTACAGACTCGAAATCCCTGTGACTATCACATACTGAAATTTAAGTAGGTCACTAACAAACATACGTAAGTTCTCAGTTGGGTCTCATTATTTCTAATAGAAAATGAGTAAAAATAAACAAATTTGGAAGGAGGCAATATAATTCAGTGGGTAATAATATCAGTTCTGAGGCTAGAAGCCTTGACTTTAAATCCTGATAAATTCTTTATCAGATCCATCACTTGAGCTATCTACTCCACTTCTCTGTGCCTCTATGAGAGAGGGAGGAAACCTTGGGTAACTGGGTAACAGTTAGGCTTAAATGGAATTACCTAGAACATAATAAGTGTTCAATAATTGGTTAAAAAGTAGTGAAGAATGTTTCCTAAATTTCCACAACAGGCTTAATTCCCTTCTTGGGATCATTATGAACTATCTCATTCTATTTCTTTTTTTATGCATTTGTTAACATATGTATAGCACACATGGCTTTACTTGTTTGTGTGTGTATGTTTGCTGCACTATGAACATGAGTCAATGTGAGTGTGGTGGCCAGAGGCATCTTCCTGAGTTACTCTCCATCTTATGCTTTTGAGACAGGGTATCTCACAGAATCTAGAGCTCACCAATTAGCTAGACTAACTGCAAGTTTTAGAGTGCTTCTTATCTCTGCACTCCCAGCCCTGATATAGCCATGCCATGCTCTGCTGGGCCCGACTTTTATTCATTTATTTATTTTTTACATAGGTGTTAGGTGCTCATGTTTATACAACAAGCACTTTACCAACTGAACCATCTCCCCAGCTCTTCTTCAAATTGTTGGTGAGAAGACAATGCAACAATGCAATTTCATACTTTCTTGATGCTTCAGCACCCAGCATGAGAATAGTCCTCAGTGCATGCTCATAGCTGAATGACTATGCACTTTTACATGAAGTTTGGAAAACAAAGCCACTGCATGTGTAGTTCCGCTCTCCAATTCCTTTTCCAAACCTCTGAAAACAGGGATATTGTTGTAATTTTTAAAAAGTGGCCTGTGAGAGAAAGATGCCACATGACAGAGCTTTGATGGAGGGGTTTTATACTGAGGGAAAGTGAATGGGGAAAGAGGGAGGGAAGAGGGGAGACAGAGAGACAGGCTGAGAAGCAGAGAGGGGAAGAGGGAAGTTGGGCAGGGCCATTTTAAAAGGGAGTGTAATGAATGTGCCCAGGTGGTGCTCTTAGTGGCTACAGCTGAGAGCATACATATCCTGTCATAACCACAAGGACAGGCCAGTATAGATGCCTGAATGCTAACAGATTTGTCTCTGTATTTCTTTATCTCTCATAACATACCCAGGTGCCATATAATAAACTTCACCTGATGCTGTGGTAGTTTGAATGTAATTGCCCCCCCCCATAAGCTTATAGGGAGTGACACAATTAGGAGTGGCTTTGTTAGAGTAGGTAGAGCCTTGTTGGAGGAAGTGTGTCACTGTGGGAGTGGGCTTTGAGGTCTCATATATACTCAGGCCATGCACAGAATCTCAGTTCACTTCCTGTTGCCTGCAGATCAAGATGTAAACTTCAAAGAAAGAAAAAATAAAAAAGAAAAAAAAACAGAACTCTTAGCTCCTTCTCAAGCACCATGTCTGCCTATCTGCATGCTGCCATGTCCCACCATGATGATAATAGTCTCTGAGCCTCTCAACTATAAGCCATACATTTTTTTTTTTAGAGTTGCTCATTGAAGATTGTGATAGTAGTCCCTTTGAGGCAAATCTAAATTAAACTGTTGAGAATTTAAGTGACCATGGGAACCCATGAAATCATACACTGAGCTCTACTGACTGTACCACATTTGTGAAAGCAAAGAATTTGCTCTTTACTATAAGAGGAAATGTCCAGCTTACTCTGTATGAAGCAGAGATGGACAGATAAAGGGACTCTAGCACCTGTGTATGGCATACAGGCAGGAATATTGACTTACAGTAAGACAGTTCTAAACACTAAACCTGGTATTTTTCTTCTGCCAATTGTGAAGTTTGGACCATTTCCTTCATTTGTGAAATTCCAGGAACTTGCATTTCCTGTGAGGCTAAAATCCTGTATGTAAAATACTCAACAAGGGAAGATGTTTAACTTTAGGTAAACCTCATTGCCCCACAGGAAAGGATTTACCAGACAACATGCCAAGCATTTTCCTGGGCACCAGTTAATGCATGGCACTTTTTAGAATAAAACCTAGAACCTAGACTTTGTCTAGCTTTTCTTTTTTGATGTTTGAGCCTTTTCGGGTTTTCTGAGAATATATGAAAAGTCTACTTGGTTTCTTCTATGTTTACCTTTTCCTTTGTCATATCTGATGGCATATACAAAGGTAATCACTTGCACATGTAAATATTGTTTGAACTACCTGTACTAGAGATCTCTTTTTCTTCTTCTCTCTAACACAGCAGGAAGGGTAAATGAGAACCATCTGTCTAGTCAGCCAGTGGAAGGTTTGCACTGGAGGAGATAAACACCACTGGCTTCTACAAGTTTCCAAGAGTGAGCAGGAGCAGGATTTGTAAGCCTACTGTACAATAGTTTTACAAAGTATTCTCTATGTGATTCTAAAATGGAACAAAATTGAGGGCATTTGACTGAAGTAAAAGCTTCTGGATTTATGGGTTTTAATGAATGAAGCTTGTGCAATGAGCAAAGTAACATTTATCAAATGTTTATCAATGGCAGGCATTTCCCACATAATCTAAAGAATAATTCTGCATGGTGTAAATTATCTCTGTTTGACAGATGAACTAAGAAATGTAATTTTAAGTTGTCTGCTAACACCAGAGGTCTTTTTAAGTCTGCTTCTGACTCATTTATCTTTCATGGTGGACCCACTAGTCAAGTGATTATCAGAAGCTGGCATTGTCTTGGGAAGGACTCAACAACAGTGAACAAGACAAGGTTTCTTCTCATGCAGTGTGCATTCCAGGAATCAGACACACAAGTCCTGATACAAATCATAACATGGCTAGACCCAAATTCACAGGTAAGAACCATGGGAGTCACTAGAGAATATACCCAAGGCCTCCTAAGAAGTCACAATTAAGTAAACTAATTAGTAGACAAAAAGCAAAGGTGCAATTCATGTAAATACCTGGGGGAAAAGGCACTTGGAAAATTACATAGAAGACAAAAGCCTTGGCAGCAGTGCTCATTGTATTCAACAATGGCTTCAAGGAGAGAGTTCGTGTAACACAAGACAAATGGAGGAGAAACACTAAGAGTTAAAATTTCTCCTGGCTGAGTCTTAGCGTTGATGCTAACTTTCATCTGTTTAGCTTCAAGCCCTCACTCATTGCCTGGAGATTCTTACCTCTCTTCCCCCTTTTGGAGATAGAAACTACATTTTGCTTTGTAGCACCACTCAACTACCAAACCATCAGGCCATGGTTAGGTAGGGTTGATATCCAGTTCCAACTCCAAGCTTGTTTTAGTCAATCTAAGCCTCTAACAATATCTTAACTACCATCTTTTTCAGTTCTAGGCTAGACATCAAACTTCATCACAGATCCAATGATCTAGAAATAGAAAAGGTCCATCACATTAATGTTCAGTAAGCATGAGTCCATAATACAATGCAACAATGGCAATACTATCCTGTCCACCTGGCTGCTCTACAGTGGCTAATAATCTCTTTGGTTTGTCAGATTAAGTCACTTTACACACCTAATAGAAACTATCTCCCTGGCACATGCACTCTCTTATTCTCACTCTTTCTAGATATCCATCTTAAAGATGATAAAATAAGTCAGAGTGCATTAAGAAATATTCGAATCTAAGGTATTACTCAGCTATAAATCAGTGCTTCATCTGTGCCATATAATAAAGGATGGTTGTGTTTCTATAGCATTTGTGTAGTGGTACTCTAATGCCAGATAGCTTGGGGATGTGACTATTTTGAGACAGGGCCTACAAAAGCCATAATGAAACTGAGGCTGTTTGGATGTGCACCAACACAAATGGACTGTGACCTTAATAGTTAAGGAAATCTGGTCAGAGTGGTGACCTGTGAGAATGCTGCGAGCATCTATCTAGTGCTGAGGAAGAGCTCAGCTATTATGTTGTCCATCATTCTCAACAGGAGTAATTTGAAACCCCATGGGCATATGACACCCATTTTGTGGTCTCATCATTATAGCATGGTATTCTGTTTAACACAAGCACATTCACTTCCAAAAATATGTGGCGCTTAAGACCTAGTTTCACAGTATGTCCTAGGGAATGCTTTCTCTAGATCAACGATTTTTCCTTAGAGACCCTGGAACAGGTGTGTAATACTGCCTTCTAGATGTCTGATGTAGTATGCCAACCTGTAGTATGCTTTCTCCAGCCCAAAGGTTTGGAAACATTTCTTAGTCACTAAAGTCTGGACTTCATCAAAGCAAAATATTTAATTGTATCTCTCTTCCCCATTTATATCTTCACCCCTTATGCACTGGTGCCTATGAATTTGTCTTATCTGGAAAAGGTATTTATAGATATAATCAGGTTGATAAAAATTAGATCTTTATTAGAGCAAGGAAGAGGTCTTTGGATATAGAGACACAGAAGAAACAGAAGAAGGCAAAGGAAGATGTGGCCAGACAACAGGGTCATATGTAACAGGCTAAGGGAGGCTTAGGCCTACTAGAAGCTGGAAGGGGAAACCAGAGACCCTTCCCTAGAGACTACAGAGGTATTATGATACTTATATTTAATATTTACACTCTTCAGAACTATAACTGAAACCTTTTCTACTGTTTTAACCCTTCACTCCTTTTTTAAATCTTTTCTACTTTTAAGTCTCAAGAATGTAAGAATTTTTTATAGAGGTCAGGATCATAAATGCTTTCTTCATACTTTTTTTCAACTTTTTCAGCCTCTAATTCTTACATTACTAATGCCCTGTACCTATTTACATGCTTCCCCCACTTACTTGGATATAGACTGATATATTCATCCTGAAGCACACCCCACCATACACACTGGGTGCCTTGCACTGTGATTCACAGTACTCAGGGGATGTTTAAGTAGAGAAATCATAGCAACAGATTAATATAAATGCATGTATTTTCACCTGTCATATTTAAACTTGCTAATTGCTAAATATTTTGCCATATTCATCTTTAAAATCTCACTTAATAAAATGTCATGGAAAGCATTGTGTAGCAGCCCAGTTGTGTTGTTTTAAAACTGCACAACTTAATCAGCCAGTTGTACTAGAGTTTAGTTAAATGATCCCTCAAGGATCTTTTCCTTGCTTCTAATTTTAGGACATTTATAAAAGTTGCTGCATATATAAAAAGATACATATACACACATATATACATATATGTCTATCTGATATCTATATTTATATATGATATTTGGTAATTTAGAAGTCAAATAGATGCTAACATTAAGGATTGCTAGATTGAAGAAATTCCATCTGATATTTAAGTCAAATAATACCAACTTTCTGGTAAAATGTGCTAGATTCATACCAAAGGGTTACCACAGAAAGTTAAATATGGAGCTTGAAGAATTACACCTTCAATCATATAATTAACCTAAAAGAATAGTTTTATATTTTCTTCATTGAATAATTTTTGGAAGAATGAGATAAAAACCCAACTAGGTTTGCTGAAGGACAAGAAAGAACAATACTTACCTACAGGCAAATCACCCAACAAATCAGAAGAAGCCCTGCTGAGCCACTTAACAAAATTCTGCCACCTGTGTAAGAAAAAGAGATAGGGTCTAAGTGATGAGTTGTAATGCTCCCATTACCTTGGAAGCATGCACAGCAAAGCTGAGTTTTACTGCTTGGCAACAATGCTGAAAGGGGTGCAGGAAACAGAAATTACTTTAGGTATATCTAACAGTATCTAAAATTAGAAGCAATAAAGAAAATTAAAATATAAATCCACTGCAATCTGTTTCCAGATCATAGCTAATACCTGATGCTTGTATTATTATTACACCATGAGAGCTTCCTTTCCTCCAGCTTTTCTTTACCATCCTAGGCCTCTGATACAGTCATCTGGCTTTCTGGTTGCGTTATTTCACATCATGCCTTATCTCTTTCTTCACGTACCTCTGGAGGCCACATGTTCAAATCTCCTGTCAGAATACACATGCTGATCAAAGAATGATTCTGACATGTGACCCGTGTATAGGAAAAGGTTTATGATGTATAAACAAAACAAACTGGTTTCATAGTTAACACATCATTTCTAATTGAAGAGAATAAAATTATATGAGAAAACCTAAGACACAGTTTTGCCAACTTCCTCTCCATCTCGGTTGGTCTTCTGATGTGTGAGCTAGCAACAAAACTTCTATCCATTTACAGTCTGAGACTGGTGGCCTATGTCCTCTTACTGTAAATCTTGGGCACCCAATTCCCTGCACCAAAGTCTTTTCTTTAGATATAGAGTTCCTACTTCATGAAAGAGTCTGCCAGACAGTCTACAGGACACAGAAAAAAGTGACTGATAAACTGCCAATACAAAAAGACAATTTAAAGTTTCCTGCTTTGCTAAAGAGTCTGCTAGACACACTATGGCCTATGGGCTAAAGATGGAAGATTACAAAAAAACTTCGGGTGACCAGACAATGAGTTGTCTCTATCATTTCTAGAGTTTATATTATCCTTCTATGGTCTTTAAAGGACTTGAAGACAAATAGTTATGGTTATAGTTTTCCTTAGTTAAAGTTACATATAGGACTTTAGACTCACAAAGATAAAATAGATGATGAAATACTTTCTTAAATCTTGCTAAATGTTAATGGACTAAATAGTGTTAACTGTGATTCTTATTTGATAACTGTTATGTGATATATTTTACTATGTTAAGGTTGAAACCCTTTTATTTAGACAGAAAAGAGGAGATGATGGGAGATGCCATTATGTATATGTTTCTCATACTGGTTTAATGAATAAAGCACTGTTGGCCAATAGAAAAGCTAGATAGGAGGGACTACGAGACAAGGAGGAAATAGGAAGTAGTAAGGAGAGTCAGGATGGAGAGCCTGGAGAGAACAGAACCGCCATTCCTCCACTCTTGGTAAGACCATGTGGAAATACATAGAAATGGGTTAATAATTAAGACAGAGCTAGCCGATAAGAAACTAACACCTGGCCAACAGCATAATATCAAATACAGAGTCTCTGTGCGTTATTTGGGGCTGGCGTGGCGGCGGCGGGACAAGACAGCGGCGGGAGGAAAAACCTGTACTCCTTACACTTTTCCTTTATTATACCCTGACAGTAAAGGGAGGAAAATGTGGCAAATAATCCTAAGTATCCAACTTGAGCATTGTCTAAAATAAAACATCATATAGAAGCTGGGGATTGGTGGCACACACATTTAATCTCAGCACTCGTGAGACAGAGACAGGCAGATCTCTGTGAGTTTGAGGTCAGCCTGGTCTGCAGAGCTAGTTCCAGGACAGGCTCCAAAGCAATACAGAAAAATCCTGTCTTGAAACACAAACAAACAAACAAGCAAAAATTCATATAGGACATGTGTGATCAATACATTGAAGTTTAATTTACTAAATATTTCCCATTTCTATATCTCTTACATTTTTAGACCTTCAAAGATCCATTCAATGCAAATGTAAGAATAGGCCCCACTGTAATAATGTACTAGTAACTGCAAACAAAAGTATGTGCCAAGTTTTCACCGTCCAGCTATGGGACAAAGACTGTGACCCTGATTCTAGAACAAGGAAGACTTGGTTTCACATTCCAATTCCAGGCTGTGGGTGTAGCTAAGCGGGTATAGTGTTTGCTTAGCAGGCATGGAATCCTGACTTTAGTTTCTAGGGAGCATAGTGTTGGGTACTTGTGATGACAAAACTTGGGAGGTAGGGACAAATCATCAGGAGTTCAAGGTGTTCTTCAGATACATAGCAATTGACAGACCAGCATGTGCGATATGACACTCTGAAACACCAACAAGTTCCAAATTCATCTGTATTTTCAACCTAACATAGATTTCAGAGAATGTTCTTGGTACCTTTTCTTCATCATTTCCTCTCAAGGAGACAAGCATTATGTAAGACATGTAAACTACTACCCTGAGACACAGGTTAACAGAATCAGTCAATAATACACCCTTTTCAATTGACTTCAGATTCACAAGGGGTTAGGTCATTCAACTTGGTTTCACATCTATGTTTTCCACTTTGAAATTATGGGCATCTTTTCAGTGCTTACTAATATTTAGTATTGTAGAAACCAGAGGTTAGTCTGATTTTTATACCTTAACAACTAATTTTTCCCTTTATTTTATTTTTCAGTAAATAACTTTGACAATTTTTTTTTGTCTTTATAATAAAAATTGTCATTGTAATCCACAAACACATGAGTATATTTTTTTCTAAATTTAGCTTAGGTCATAGAGCGTTCTTTCAATTTGAATACACAGGGCTCTTTCTTACAAGCTCTGTAAAGTTTCTTTAGTCAGTGTTATCCTTTGGGTATGGCTTGTGTGGGTCACCTAATACCTTTGTTTTGCCGTATGACAATATTGAGGTGGTAAAATCTGAACAACGTGCAGAGTTTAAAAGAAAGTTATTAGGTGCCAGGAATGTTACCCTTGAGAAAGAATAATGTAGTTCTCAAAGGATTCTGGTAAGTTGCCTTACAATTAGTTGTTGCAAAATAGCAAAGAACAATGTTCTTCCAACTCAATGGCTTTCATTCCTGCCACACAATCTCTCCTTTTGCATGTATTTCTGCCATAATGCCATCTATCAGGTTGTGACTCGGGCATAGAGGATCTCATTAGAGGCCAGGCTGATGAAGTCTCCGATGCTTTCTGCTAAATACATTTTAAAATACATTTTAAAGATACAGCAGAGAGCTTCAGAGTCTTTTGTTATATGAAGAAAACAATGGGTTACTATAGTGAGGACTTTGGGTTTTATTTTATTTCTGTATTTTGTATTTCCATTGATGCCAACTCACTTTAGGTTGAGTCTCTATTCTAGTCTTACCTCTAATATTCTCTATCTTTCTCACCTAGTTACTTTTGGGAAGATTCTGAAGAAGTCCCTTAAGTTTGAAATAACACATTAGATTTTTCTCCTGTGTTCCTTTTGTTTATTTACTTATTTTTATTGATTCCCAGTGACTTCAATTTTCCTTGAAAAGTTGAGGGTTCCTTGAAATCACCCATACTTCCCAAATTTTTCGTGATTTTACCCAATCACCTTCAGTGCTTTTTAAACTTCGCTTTTATCATTGGTTTGTCTCACTATACTTATCTCTTTATTACTTTCTAATTCATATCAACAGGACACATAGCTTTGGCATCTTTGAAAGAACCACAAAAATTTATCAAAATTTTTTAGTTTTTAGAGCAGAAATATGTTCAAAGTGTTATTGAAACTTGGAGCCCATAGGATTATACTTCCTTTCCCATATTCTATGGTGCTTATTTTAGAGTTTTAAATTTTAGGTTAATAGTACTCTTTTAAAACAGGCTTTATAGGTGTATATGTTTTTTTATTCACTGACAAATGAGAGTTTGTCCACACATAGAGTAAGCAAACATACACACTTTTCCAGTTTTCATGGTCCTGCTCACTATTCCCGTAGGCCCAGAGACATGGGGCAGATGACAACTCCTGTGGATTCTTGGCATCTCAGATTCTTCTTTCAAAGTTGCACATGGGATACCCTCACCATACTTGCTGCGTGCAAGATACTGGTATCCTATGTCATAATCCACACTCTCCTTAGTGCGTACAACTACCATCTGTCTCTGTGCTAATTGACACAACATAACTTTCAGGGATGGCACTGCCAGATGCAAACACTAAACTCAGGCTTTCCACCTTCAACCTTGCTCAGCCCAACTCTTTACTCTATTGTTTCAGAAATGTGCTCTCTGAATAGGTACAGATACATGGTATGTGGGAAACCATCCACACATCTGTCCTCTGGTAGGATGGGGGGATAGCACTGTCAGCAATACCACTTCATGTTTTCAGTGGTGGAAGACTTGTCTGTGGTCTCTCAACTAAGAGGAAGGCAGCAATGCCTGGTGAGCTTCTTAGAAAGCCTTGGGCAGGACGCTTGCTGATTCTCCCACATTCCACTAGATTTTCACTGGTGACAATTCATTTTTGATTCTGACACATCAATGGAGTGCCTACACATTTTAGTAACTTCAGTGGGTTTTGTCTTATTTCTTTCCCAGTTATTTAGGGGCTGCAAAGCAGATGCCTTTTTATATAATAGCCTTTGATACTTAGAAAGAAAGTAACCCTCAACACTGCAAAAAATAAATAAATAAATAAATAAATAAAATCAAAACATGGGCTATTTTATAGAACACCCTTTTAATCTCAATGGAGCTAGCTTTAGGAAGCATGTTTCTCGGAAAGAGTCATATATTCAAAAAGATGTCCACCTTTTCTTCAACCCCCAATCTGTTCACTTTGATCTTAGCACCAGGGTGTGGTAAGCTAGTGGTAAGCTAGATTTGCAAGGTTTATACTTCCAGTATTACTGGGCTGCTTCTGTTTCTCATTACTCATCAGGTTAACTACTGCGGATCTGACTACACTTAGCCAGGAGGGAACAGAGGAGCCAATTCTGTCCAAACTGCCAGGTAGAAATGGTATATCTAGATTTGAGATGTTCAATATTCCCCTCAGAATCCTGGAATTCTTAACTCTAATTGAAGGGGGCGAAATATGCCTGTCAGAGGAGATATCTAGTGAGCAAGGTGCAAAAGTTTCCTCACGTATTCATGTCTCCCTTGATTGAAATCTTCATGCATGATATATTAGTGGGTAGAACCTTTGAAAGGGTTAGGTCATGGAGCAAAATCCTCAGGAACTAAACTAATTTTCTTGTAACAGACCCTTTATCCTTTCTATCATGTGAGGTTCCAGTGAGAAAACTGGATTTCCAGTCTCCAGAATGTGAGAAAATGGTATCTGTGGCTCATGAGGCTGTGTTATTGAAGCACACATAGATTACAATAGGCTGCCATGAAAAAGAACCACAGATCCTGGGATGGAAATTCAAGGTTTAGGTGCCATGAAAGGGAAATTCTTCTAGACTGACTCTTCACATTCCAAACTGTGTCCAGTACCAAAGCCAAAGATGAACTCCAGCACCCTGTTTATCCAGCCACACACAAGCTTCTCATAAATGTAGGACTTGCAGGAAAGTGGCTACAGTATGGTCCTTATGGCCTAAGACAAGAACTGGGGAATCTGCATCAACTCAGTCTTCCTGATGAATTTATCTATCAGGGACATATAGGGTTTGAGCTCTCAATATCTCCATTTCCTCATTTGAAAAATAGAATAGTGGCTGTGGGAATTTGAAATGTTAATATTTAATAGAATGCTTGATATTTGCTTGGAATGTTTAAATTCTACAAATGTTCTATATAAACTTACCAACTTTATTTGCATTGTCATCATCATTAGAATGTCCAATGGTAAGCTGGGTTTGCTGTCTAACACTGAGCCAATGGACAGAAAATAGCATATCTCTAATAGTTCTTTGTGTAACATTTTTCCTTTTCTCTTTAACCAGCAATTTCAGAATAAGATACCTCATGATTCCTTTATCTCATAAAATCCTCTGCTTGTTCCCAGGATTAGCAAAATGTCCTTTCCAACCTAACTCTGTTTTCAATAATGGTCCAGATGTGTATAGTAAGTCCTACTTGTGGCTATGTCAATTGCTCTACTCGCTATTTAGAAAGCCCCCATAGCAGCTTCATTATTTATCTTCTCCACCAACACAATTTGGCTTATGCACGTGCATTCTAAACTGGTTTGAAGCATTTAATTTTGCCAATATAATTTTAGAGTATTAGATTGCCTCCTGTTCTTGCTCTGCCCTCCTTAATTACCATTTATTAAAAAGTCACATAGAAACATTAAATGTGAATTCTGACTTCCATCTTTCTGGCCAAGAAGAGGGATATAATTTCCATCCAACACAACCTAAGCTCGTTTTATGTAAGGGTGATCCAGAGAGGAGATTAGAAATCATAATCAAGTCTTCCTTACAATCGCCTTATCCTGGCAGTCATTCACCAATGTGTCTGCTAATTGTGAGGAAAATGGGAAAATGAAAATGAAATATCAGAGCTTAACATTTTTATTTAAGAAGCAACAGCAGCAACAACATTTTTTTGTTTCAGGGTTAGCAAAATTGCCCCTCTTGTCAGCTCTTGCAACATGGTAGTTTAAAAAGGGAGCACAACTCATTTTATTTGGCTAGATGGGGCTAATCCCACATCACCACAATCCCTCCTGATGTTTTATTGATTCTAAAGGACATTTAATCAGGAAGCAGCTCAGCACTAGAATCCTGCTAATTAGCAGACAGCCACATTCCAAATGGCTTTCCAATTGAACACAGATTAATGGACAATATGTACTAAGATAATGATTTGAGCATTCAGCTTCTAAAATGTGTGTTTAAATTGCATCTTTAATCTCTTAAGGATGTAGGTTTGCATACAAAGCTCATAATAGACTAGGTTTAATTCACAGAAGACTCTTTAGCCAATGACTGTTTAAAGATGAAATAGGTTTATCTCTTATAATCACATTTTTCTTTCACTCTCATGGTTTTGAAATCCTAGAATATCTAAGGTCAAAAAAAAAAAGCAAGTATATGCTCTTATATTCCCAATCCCTGCAACACTGGTTCTGAATTAGTCATTAATCAAAAATATCAGTGGAGGCTTTACTGTGTCCTATGTATAATATGAATCTTGGTGCTTGATTTTTTTCCTTTATACTAGAGCCATTTTGAGAATCTCCTTTTGGTTTCTAGTCATACTTAACTTGTTTTTCTGCTTTGTTTGTGGTATAAACATCTCTAAGGAAATGCACATGTGCAAATTCATCTACAGGGTTGGACTCAAACTCATTTACTTAATTCACTGCTCTTCGCAAAACCTTCACCTACTTTGTTTCCTTATTGCTCCTATGACCTTGTGCTATCTATCTATCTATCTATCTATCTATCTATCTATCTATCTATCCATCCATCTATTGATAAAGGGCTACTCTGAATTCCTGGCTGTCCTAGAACTTACTCTGTAGACCAGAACTTATAGAGATCTGCCTGCACCTGCCTCCCAAGTGCTAGAATTAAAGATGTGTGCCACCACCACTTGGCTATATCATATACTTTAAATTGATTTCTCATTGCAACTAGAATATACCTTCATGAGGAAGGGGCTTTGTTTTTCTCATAGCTGTACTCACCGTGTCCAGAATAATGGTATACTGCTGGTTCTTGGCAAATGATTTTTAAGTCAATGAATCATCAAGCTCATTGCATAGGCACTATGTACCTACATTGAGCCCATTATAGGTCAGATGCTGTGACCATTTAGCATGAGGAAAACAGCTGTTTCCTGTTACAGGGTGATTACTTTATAGACATCAATTAAGAAAACACACACATAAAGCCAAGACTTTAAAGAGTGCTAGGAAATAAAGTAACTAGGTGCTATTGGAACATTTAGTACCATGAACCTGATTTTTGTGGAGATGGTTGGAAAAGGCACTGTTCAGTTTGACAATGAACTATTTTGAGATAACTTGTCTCCTAGTTCAGTTCACGAACATAGCATACATCATCGTAATATCTACTGCTTTAGACATTTGGGATATAGAATAAAGAATCTACTTGTGTTATGGTACTGTAGTTTACTATTTAGCACAATATGGCAATGAATGTTAAATCAATGTTATTTCACTTATTGAAGGTTAAGGGAGTTTTATGCTCAGTGTAGAACATACATTTATGTGAAAAATTTAAAATAAATTGGGAGGCCCATAGAGAAAACAAAAGGAAAGCAGGTAAAGGGGAAGGAGTGAGGGTTAGAATTCCAAATACTGTAATTAGTATAGCCCACACAAACTGTGTGAGGCCTAAGCTAAGAGGTTTTCTGTGTTTTCCTTTTCAGTGCTGTTGAGCAGTTTCCTAATTTCATACATAAGCCAGTACCTATAAAATAACCTTGAAGACAACTCTTTAACATCTCCAGAGGACATTCTTGAGGTCATATGTCCTATACTCTTAGTAAGGTATGCTATATCTTCCTTGCTCTTCCTAACCTCCTACTGTACCTTATTCAAACTATTTGAAGATTCTAGCCTATTGGCTTTCCTCATTCCTTTGCAACAAGTTAAACCAATCTCATTGCTTTTCTCTCTTAATAATCATTGTTTGATGACAATACTTGATCTTCAACCTCTGCAAATATATTACATCTGTTTTGTCCTATTATTTAGCTGTTTCAGGAGGAATGACAAGTAAAGGCCATGGTAGTACCTATGGGCTGAAAGGAGTGGTTTCTTGATTTGTTTTTCTATGACTTCTGAGAACTTTTTGTCTTAAATATTTAAAAAAATACATTTACTTAGTGTATATGTGCATGCAAGCGTGGAAGTCAGATGGTAACTTTTGAGAGCAGGCTCTTTCATTCTACCATGTTGGAGTCTTTCCCTCTATGAGGGGTGGACATCAGGACATCAGGCTTGGCAGTAAAGGCCTTTACCAACTGGGCCATTTTGCCAAATCCCTTTGATCTCAATAAAACATTCTTTAGCCTAGCTATCAAGCAATTGGAATTGATTGGTTCCCACAGGAAACTTGTTCTCTAAAAGCAAATCTCTGTGTTTGGCATCCTATTAGAAGACAATAGGGATAAGGAGATTTCATAGTTCCACAAATAGCACAGCATAGTGGCCAATGTGTTTAACATCAGACATTATCTTTTTCTCATCATTCTGAAATGACAAAAAGGTATAGTTTTGGCTTGGAGGTAGTCCTGACCTTCTTACTGTGTGTTTCTATGGTAGAGAGCAGAAGGAAGTTTTTGCGTCTTATTTTCTTGGAAAGATACTACTTCTATCAGGGTGGTCCAGCTACATCTAAATATGACCTTCCAAGACCTCAGTCCCAGAATCATCATATTGAGAGTTCGGGCCTTACCACATTTTTGTTTTGGTGGGGCACAACCCTCAAAATTCAACTTACTTTATTTCACCTTGATAACCCAAATCTTGGTGGTTAAGCAATGTTTCCAGCAGGGTCAAGGTTAGATACAATCCATGCTTGCCACATATAGCTCTGACCTAGAAATTAGAAAGGAGTTGAAACTTTAGTAAAATGGAACACATGTTTGGGTTTCTTCTCACTATTATAGCCCATATGATTTTGACAAGGAGCTATTGCTCAGGAGCAGATTCTCTCATCGAGGAATCCTTCAGCACAAGCCTTTTCAGCTCAGTGCTTATGGGTAACAAACTTCTATTTAGTTGAAAGACAGGTGCAATTTTTCAGAAGCAACTAGGTTTTCTATTATTGATCTTACATTTTTGTCAGCTCATGAGTACTTAAGGCCTAGAAAGGATCTGTCTTTCTTCATGTTGATAAATTGTAAGACATTTTGTATCATGTACTTCAGTTTATAAAGACAAGTTGTTGCATTCATAGTTAATGCCATTGTCCTAGTTTCTTTTCTAGTTGTTCTGAGAAATTAGTCTGACAAAAGCAATTTAATGGATAAGGGGTTTAAACCAACAGGTCAAGCTTTAGTCCATCATGGTGGCTGCAAGACAGCTGGTCAGATTGCATCCGTCGTCACAGAGCAAAGAGTGAGAAACACACACTAGTGCTTAGCTTGCTCTCCTGTATTTTCTGTAGTCTGGAATCCCCAGTCCAGGGAGGGGTCTCACCTACAGTTAAGGAAGATCTTCCTTCACCAATTAACAGAACCATGATAATCTTAGGGGACCTGGCAAAAAGCCCATCTCCCAAACTGTAGATTCTATCAAATTTACAATTAACACTAACCATTACAATCTTGCCCTTCTTAGCTTAGCTAATTACCATAGAGAGTAGAAAGCTCAGCTGAATGTGAGCAATCTAATTAGACAAAAGCCCTTAGAAATACTCCCAGGACTCCATCACTCTTTGGACTTTTCATCCTGGGACAAGGGACCAGGAAACCAGGGACAGCCTCCAAATTTCCAGGGTTCAATGGAGTTATTCAAACTAGCTAATCTTGAGCTTGCCTACCTTGATTTGCTCATTCATTCCACAAGAAACAGTAACAGGTTCTTGTCCACCTTCCCATTTTTGTCCTATACCACAAAGTGTCCTCCCTGGGTAGCTCAACATCGAGTGCTATCTTCTTTTGGATAGCAATTGTCTACGAATCTGTTAGTATAAGCTCAGCCAAACAATAATGGAATCTACATTTTAAAACAGTGTCAAGGGATTAACTCTGTAATATTTTCTTAGTTCAGACAAGGTCTTGGGAACATTCTCAGCACATAGTAGGCAAACAAGCAAGCAGAGGCCAAATGCTCATCTTTACTAGTCTTTCTGAGGTTTTCAAACTTGCCCTCTACTTTCTAGGGGTAGAGAACTTAGACTCAGAGGGAATTGTGGAAGAAATTAAAAACAGATAATTTTGAAACATTAAAAAACAACAAACAAAACAGAGTTTACCAAAAGCATAAGAAGTCAAGGAGAATGCTCGCAAGAAGATATAAATAATAAAAGAAAAAAAATCCAGTGCTACTTTGAATGGTATTTTGTTGTTGCCTATTTTGCTATAGTTTTATGCCTTTTCCTGGCAGGACAGCAAACCTATTGCTTTCTGAGCTTCCTTGTGAGATAGTGTCTTTTCCAGGGTGAGATGGTCCTTTAATTATTTATTTTCTTACAATTGTTGCTTAGCAGTCTTGGAAAATAAAGGATCCAAGTAAAAGATGAATGCTAGTGGGATGTGTGTGGGGAGGGGTTAGCAAAAAAGCAAAGAGATATAGAAACCGATCACATGTTTTGTCATTTTTATTTAATAAGTAAGAACTGATTATCCTCGTGATTAGAGCATACTCATGTGTTTTTGGACACCTATATTGAAAGTCTATTCTGAAAATAGATCATTCTGGAAATATCCAGTTTTGTTGTAGGCTTAAATGAATAGCAGATTAAAAAGAGTACATCATAGTACCTAGACACAGACTGATTGATGGATGCAAAAACTGACAGTTATAAGAAGCAATGGAAATATGTACCAGAAAAATTAATTAAGACAGTGTTACTCAGGATTATCATTAAGATATTTCAAATAATAAATATTCATGCTGATCATCCTTAGTAAGAAGTGTTTATTCTTCTTCTCTCAATGAGGAAATGGTTTCAATTAGTAGTAAATAATTTTTTTTAAAGTAAGTCAATAAACTATAATATTTAGCATTGACAAAGACATTATGTTAACAATGTCTCTTGAAAGTTGGTACGTTGCCACAGGTTCCATCATGATTTTTTTTCCCCATGAATTTTGTTTTACACTATTACTTGACTCAACCATTATCACCAGTAACAAGGAATCTCTATGGGTTTCCAGTTAACAGATTTAGTCTATTGCAGCATGGAACTGAATGGCCATACTCTGTACTTCCAAACTCTCTTTCATTTCTTTCTTGATGCTCCCATATTTCCTTTGATCATATTTAATCTTTTTTATTGGCTTCTCTTGGCTACCACTTCTTATAGAGTGCCTTCTTCAATCTGCTTGCTGTCTCAGTTTTCCTCTATGTTCTGGGGTGGTCTAAACTGCTCCCATGATGTCCAATCCATCTTGAAGGTTCTCAAATCGTCATGCAATTTCAGTCTTACTACCCAGACAAACAAGTTCAAAACTCAGTCCATCAGCCCTTAATGAACTCCTTCATATTACTCTTGTTTAGTTTCTTATCTTGGTAAATAGCATTGTCATCCAACAAGTTGGTGAATTTGGAGCTAATTTTGGTCCACATTCAATGACACACTAAAGCCTTCTTTGTCTTCTTTGTCTATCCTAGTGTCTCTATGCTTCCTGTTAGTGTCTCACTTGAAGCAGCATCATTGCTTTCTGTAGTACTTGTGAAGCTTCCTACAAGGCTCTCTTTTCAGGTTTGCTTGTTTGAAAAATTCTCCAAATTATATTAAAATGTCCCTCTGAAAGCTCAAATGTGATCATGTTATTTGCACATTTAAAATGCTTTGGTGGTTACAATGGTTTCACAGAATAAAATATAAACTCTTTGGAAAGATTCTTCATACACAGGATCATACTTTTTATTCTATAGTTGACTTGAAATTATTCTTTTCAATGGTCATTTTCTCTCTCAGTCCTTATTCTGTTCTGTGTCAAATGTACATGCTGACCAAGCATATTTACAGATGCTTTTGGGACCACTTTTACATAAGTTACATTGGTGTCTAGTTTTATGTTCTAGTAATGGCTATCCCTACCTTTGTCACAGAATTTTGATGGCATTTGTCTTTCCTTAACTTCCTGGTAAACCAGGAAATTGAAATAATTGGGGTTGGTACCTAGAACACACAGTGATTAATGTATTCAAAAGTGAAAGTCAGTTAAATAATACTGGTCAGAAATATGGCTGTTGCATTGAAGGTAGAGAACAATGCAGACATAGTAGAAATTTTTGGACTGTTTTAGCCCAGAGATACAGAAAGAATGAAATATGAAAAGTATGACTGAGAAACTGTAGAAAGTGGCTGGGGAATCTAACATCCTAGCAAAAATGCAAAGAGGAATTTTAGAAGTTCTTTAAAGTGTTGAACTGAGGCTACAAGCTCAAGCTCGGAGTTTGTACAGTTCTGATGAATGTGATAGCTAATTGTCAACATGACGAGATCTAGAGTATCCAGAGGGATGGTTCTCAAAGGATAACTGAGAGATTATCTTCAGTAGATTAAATGAGGTGGGAAGACCTCATCATTGTGAGTAGCACAATTGTCTGAGTGGGATCCTTGAATCTATAAAAGAAAGTGAGCTGAGGACAAGCTTTCACATGATTCTCTACTTCTTGACCATGGATGATGATGGGTGCAGTATAACTGGCTACCTCAAGCTCTTGTTGCTGTAACTTACCTGTCATTATGGTCTGTACCCTCTAACTGTGAGCCAAAATCAGCCCGTCTTTCCTTGATTTTGCTAGGGTATTTTTTTTTATCACTTCTACAAGCAGAGTAACTAAGACAGTGGATCAGTTAATAAAGAAAAACAGAGGATCCACATTAATTTTGCAGTCTTATTAAGTCATCATTGTAGCAAAGATGTGCAAGACAAGATGAGGGGTTCATAGATAAAGTTGACTGATATTAAATTTTTTCCATACTATTTTCTTGTGATGGCTCAAAAATTCAATTGATGTGGGTGACAAGATCTGAAGATTATATTTGACAATGTTTAGTTTTGTAGGTGGTCTGCAAACCCTTTGAATTGAGAGTTTTTGGTGTTTTTATTCCCACTTTATCCTTAGTTAATGCTTGTTTTTCTGGTAAGAGGCAGTGCATAGCTGTCATGGACTACCTAAGAAGGTTCATGGTTCTCTTTTCTACACTTTTAAGAAAGTTAAGATGTATAGTTTCAAATTTTCAATGCTTCTAGTCTTTATAGTCTGCTCTCAACTGAGGATCCAGGAACAAGGAAGTTGTGGTGTGGCTGCACCCTGTTGCTTCCTGTATCAAATATCCCTTGGGCCTTAATTTGCTTCACATTCTGAGGAAACTCTATTTAACATGCCTCCCAGAACTGTATTATTCTTTGAGTAAGTTCCAGATGTCTTAAGAGATGCCAGATGGCTCATGAAAGACAGACTAGCTTTAAGGAAAATATACCCTGTTTCCTTGGATCTGAACCACAAAGTTAAGATTTCAGTCCAGCTGTAGACAAGAACACTTAAAGAGTCTATGATAACCAGTGTTTAATGTTGTATCATCTGGCTACAGGACAAAGACCTCAGGAAACTAGTGTGTGCGTGTGTGTGTGTGTGTGTGTGTGTGTGTGTGTGTGTGTGTAATAAAATTTATTTGGACCTTGTATATCGGGTTGTACACAAATACTTTCAAATACTTAGTCTCATTTAATCTTCATAATAGTTAAACTAGGTGCTACTTGGAACTGAAGTTTTCCAGATGAAAATCTGAGACCAAAAGAGATTAAGCAAATGTATTTTAATTTTCAAGTTATTTGTGTAATAGTCTATGCATAACATCTGAGAACACTAGGCTTTGCCAGTGGCATTACATGGTTTCCAATCTAACAAAGAACTGCTGTTTCTTGGTCTATTCTTATTCTTTTCATGAACACAAAACAGGCAAGTCATGAGGTTCAGACTGCCCTGCATCATTATTTTTCTACTAAAACATGTTTGTGTATACAGTACACATGTACACAGGTACAGGCACACACAGATATTAGCATAAGCCTTGCATTGGATGCCAGCTGCATAAACGGAGTCCCAGAGAAAGGTAGTTTTTGTTTGGGAATAAGAACTCACCTGTACTGTATTGTATCTTTGCTTTTCTTAGTAAACATCAGGAACTAATCTGAAGCCCTCAGTTTTAACCCTTGCATACCCAGAATGAAAGATATGTGGTGATGTGTCTGATAGACCCATATACTTTCCAACCTTTCCCTAATGCTGTAATTTCTATCTTTTGTGTAGTGTTATCAGTAAAAACCTCTGAACATTGCCTATTGATTGAGTCCCTTGGCTCACAAATTTCCAGCATTTTCTAAGATTAGAATCTTGACTCTGCCCCCTTGGTACTTGTGGCCAGGAATTAATTCAATTGCCTTTTTCAAACTTCAGAATTTATTTCACTTATGAAAGGACAGCAACAACACCTACCTATATTTCATGATGTTGTGTAAAGAGGCAACTTTGTTGATATTATGTGAGAAATGATGTCAGTTAAGAATTTAACACAGTGATTAGCTCCTAGTAAAATTAAGGAGTGTGAAGCTGTGCTATTATCAATGCAGTTATAGTAATAGCAGCAATCATCATTCCAACTCTTTCCAATGTAGCTTTGAGACATCAGTTTATTTGGCTAGGGAAGCTTCATGAATTAATATGGCTCTGGGTCCTCTTCCATGAAACACATCTGCACTGGTAATTACTGTCTCAAATCAGCATGCTGAGCTCTATCCACAATAAATTACATCAATCCTAAAATATGGTCTTCCCAAGGCATGAGATGCCACATGCTGGCCCCAGTAGAAGCTGAGAGAGGATGTGAGAAATGAATTTGGCCTTGAAAAGCAATTGTTTCCATTGATATTATTATATTTTCTATTATTATCATTAAATGATGTAGCACAATGTAAATAATTGCTGGACCAATTCTGCACATTAAGAAAAAAACCCTCTCATCTATTTTGTTTGTCTCTTCTTAACCACACACACACACACACACACACACACACACACACATACACACACACACACAAAGCACTAACAAAACATTTGAGTAATTTAATCCACAGGGAGAACACAAACTATAGTTGTGCCTGTTGCTAATATAGACTCAATGTTCTGCAGTAGTTCTGTTGACCCTTGACAAATCTGAAATCTAATTTTAGTTACCTTGGGCAGGGGAAGGCAGCCAGAGAAGGACTGATCTTCTTTGCGAAGGCTTAGGTTGAGGTTTTCTATGTTGAATTTGCCTTGGCATGTTCTTAGTGCCATCTTCAAAATATCCAGCAAGCTCTTGTTCACTTCAGACAGTAAGGCAGGACCTTGAGGTGGTGTGCTGCACAGAGAGATAAATAAAAGACTATGAAAAAGATGGCATGCTAAAAGTCTCTGTGTTTTCATGTTGTGCTTCTCAGTTCAGCTATTCCCTGTGATTCACCTAAATCTTAATAACCTGAAAATGGGCTTCATGTGCAATTTTAATAGATTGACATACCCCATTTTTAGAGAAACGAACTATAGGTTTTCTTCTCAGGAGACACAACCCAGCTGGGTTCTCACATAAATCTCGGCACCTAAAGTGTCTTCTAGCTCTCTTTTCTCATTTGAGAGGAAAAAGAAACAAATAGTAAATGATGTTCTTGACCTACTTAATCTTCCTGTTTGTTATTCTGTTAATTGCAAATAGCTTTCCAAACTGCTGATTGCCACAAGCAAAGCCAAACAGATGCTGCCATGTTGTATTGGGAAATTTACACAGGAAATCCTCTACTGGGCAGATGTATTGCATGCTTTCTAACCTTCTTCTTTATGTCTGGAAGACCTAATGTTTGTGAATAATATTTACTTAAAGTCTGAAATGTGAATATATAATTATCAAGACAGTCATGTCTGGTTATTTCTTCTTGAAATAATAGGTGAATGGTAGCAGTAGCTGGGCACTAAAATGTTATGTTGATTTGTTTCATGAACCCTTTATATACAAATTCATTTCTTCCACCTGATCCATTATAACCACACTGTGAAGTTCAAACTGATTTACACCCATGAAGTGAAGTGCCACCTGCTCAGACAGAAGCTGAGGCATCCACACATCATATCCACATGTACATGGTTCCTTTCAGTGGTGTGTAGATTCTTCCAGTCAGATATCTGAGTTTCTGATTTGAATTACAAGTTTTCCTCCCTCCCTTCTTTCCACACCAGTTGCTAAGGTTCTAGATTCATGGAGCTTTGGTCCTTGCTGACTGGGGAGGTGCTATGTGGAATGTACTGGTCAAGGGACCACCCCAAAGAAATCAAGTTCACAATAAGCTAAAGAAGTGAGACAATGTGCTTTTCCACCCCACCCCCTGGTGCAGTCACTTGCTGAGACAAAGCCATGTAATTTCATTAAGTCTTTCCACTGCTGTGTGTTACTCGGGAAAGCATTTAACTTGACTTCCTTCTTTTTATTTCTTTTCTAAGTATGACTTCCACAACCCTTTGGTGTTCATTGTTTTTTCTCTAAATCCCCACTCCCACAGTCATGCAGCTGCCTGTCTGCCATATGTCTGACCTCTTTGCTCAGATGTCACAGTGTCATGACTCCCTCTCTTCCTCTTCATCTCCCTTGCCTGGTGGGGCAGCTTCCAAGATTTACAACTTGCCTGTCTTGTGTTTTATTTCTAATAAAATTGTCTTTGAGAGTTCTTCTGAGTTCTTTCATAAATTATTTTATTAATGAGACTAAGAACCCAAAGGGTAAACCCTGATTTTCCTGGTGACAACTCTTGTGGGAGTTTCTAGAACAGAATCAACTCTACTGCCTGGGTCTAGGCTGGGTCCCCAGTGCTACAGTACCTGACTATAAAGTAGTCCTATTTCAAAATGGAAAAGAGAAACAAACAAACAAACAATCAAAATATGTACAAGGCACTGTTCTAAAGAACTTTGTACTTGCCCATTTATTTTATTTTATTTTACTTTCGGGTGTTTTATAATACAATGCCACTTCATCCCTGAGCATGCCTTGAACTTGCTGTTAGGAAAGGCTTACATGGAACAGAGTTATCCTCCTGCCTCTGTTACTTATTTATAAAATTATTTTTTTGTGTCAGAATACAATACCAAGCATTTCAATAGGACAGTTTCACAAACACATCTCATTATACTTTGCTCTCAATCACCCTCTTCTTCATGTCCCATTATCCTATGCATACCTCTCACTCATTCCTTTCCTTCTCCAAAAGTGGGCTCCAAATCTTGCTTTCATTGTTCTTTCTTTTCTTCTATTTTTTAGTTCTCTTTCATTATGCCTTTTAGTTTCCTAACCTATATTCACACAAGTATAAATATGCTCATATACGTATGCACACACACACACACACACATGCAAGCACACACATACACACTTTTAAATCTAAGATAAAAGATATCCAGAAAAAGGAAGACATGTTTACTGATGTTTGACCTTATTAAGAATAAAAAATCAATGAAAGGAAGTTTATTTGCATCTCTGTTTTCAGTGGGCACTGTAAGCACAGAAGAGGTGAATAAATTATCTGTGGTAAAGACAATGAAGCCAGGCTTTTGGCAATGAAACCCATGTTCCTGACATCTGAACTCCCTCCCTGTTCTTGGGAAGCACAGAGAATATCACACTTAATTCTACTTCATGTCTAATATATCTCTCACATACACTTCTGTCATTTCTTTTGCTTATGATTAGGCAGAAATTTTACTGATTTTGATAATTCTGATAATATAGGGCTTCCCTAATCACGTACGTTCAGGCTCATACTTTATAGATGAGTTCTAGACCATACATGATTCTTTGTTATTTTGTAATGAGATTTTTCTTTTTCAAACATAAACACAAAAACAGCCATTTTGTCAGTAATAAATACATGAAATTAATGCGAATTACTTTCTATGCTGAGGGGGAGAGAGAAGAGAGAGGGAGAGGGTATGAGGAGGGAGAGGGGAAAGGAGGACAAAGGGAGAGAGAAAGAGAGAGAGAGAGAGAGAGAGAGAGAGAGAGAGAGAGAGAGAGAGACACACACACACACACACACACACACACAGAATATACAAACAAACCAAGTGTTTGTGAACTGAGTATGTTATTCTAGTGAATATGCCTCCACTATCATGAACATTGTAAAAGTCTAGGTAAATGGACAAAATGTTTCACAAATTCAAAATCTAGAGCCTTAGGTCATGAGACTGGAGCCTTCATGAGAAAAAAAAATGTTGTTATAGGAGAGGTTACAAGGTACTTTTCTATTTTTCCCCATGTAAGAATAAAAAAGTTACATCTGAAAACCAAAGCTTAAGCATCTTTCATCTTAAACTCTGAACTTTCAAAACCAGCCAGTAACAGTATTTTAATTCACTGCAGCAATATAGCCTGAGATATACCTAAGAAAAGGAAAATAATACCTTTCTCCGTGTTGGCTTTGACTTGGAGATTTCTTTGGATTACTGTATACAGCAGTTCCATTTTTCTGAAATTTATCTGAATGTGCCCCTTTTAAAAACCAAAGTAGTTCTCCATAATTCACCTAAAAATTAAATAGAAAATCTTTACTTAATTTACATGTAAGGGAAAGTTGCCTGTTAGAGCCAGTATACTAGGAAAATGTTTACAATTGATAGTTTTTAAAAATCATATTTAAAGCAATCCAGGCCCATAATTATTAGTGGTTTGGTCTAAATGATCTTATCTGGACAAATAACAAAATGGTATCTCCTCATTGTTACATGGTGGTTGGGTATAGCCCAACTATTTAAATTCTTGACAGCAACCTTATAATACACTGAAGTTTTTTTTTGAACATGCAATAACCATATTCATTTAAAACCCAACATATAAAACAGTGTTGGCCATTCTCATACAGTGTTTATTTCACTGTAGCCCTGGTCCGAGCACACATCCTATGTACTTACACTGAACTTGCATCACATTATACAATGCTAGTGAACCCTATCTTGAACACCTTGCCTTGGTGTTCCTTGGACTATAAACCACTGTGTGTTGGTAATTTCAGGTTGCAGGGTTCTTACTGTATGTTCTTACTTTTGAGCTTTCTGCCCATAAAGAAATACAGTGAACTAAATTACAGAAAATGAAGACTTTTGATATTTTGAATACAATTATTCCTCAGTATATTTTGTCCAATTAGTGTATTTTTGGAATATATTTTATTCAAATGTTTGGTTTAAAAAAGTTGTTATTTGAGTTCATAATTTGAGTTTCATAAACATGCATTCAGTGTAGTTTGACTTGGGAATAGGATAGTATTTTCAGCTTCAGAAATAGCATTAAACAGACTTCTGCTATTTTGAACTACAGATTTTTTGTGTGTGTGTGATGAGATATACTTAGCACTGACAATTAAAAAATGAAAGTATTGATCAATTTTGATAATCGACATCTGAAAAATGTTGAAGGTGTTCTATATTGTACAGTAACAAATATTCAGCTGAGACTGAAATCTTTGTTGTGTTTATGAATGCAGGTGTTGTACATGTATGTACACATTTTTATATGTATGGGGACATGATTTTGGAAGGTAGAAGCTGTTGTTGGGTGTCTTCCTTGGTTATGCATTGCCTTATATATTGAGGCAGAGTCTCTCATTGGAACCCACAGCATGCTGATTTGACTAGTCAAGCTAATTGGCTTGCTCCAGGGATCTTGTCCTCCTCTCCCATAGGTTGGGATTACCAGTAGAATGCTAGAACTCCAAACAACCATTTTTCATGTCTTTCTTGTATGGCAAGTGCTTTGCCTCCTGAGCCCAAAAATTACTTCTTTACAAATAAGACTAAGGATTCTTGACAAAGTCTAAAGAATGGTATTATTTTAAATTTACATAAAATTATAGTATGTATAAATACATGTGTATATATACAACTTAAAAGAAGTCATGCCACTTTGTCAGTGTTTCCCACAGGAGCCATAGACTATCCAAAGCAAAAATTCTAGAATGAAGCATGTAAAACCTCCCTCAGTTTGAGTTTGTTGATCAGAGTAGTCTGTGTGACTTCCTGAACAGTATAGCCTATTTCTGTTGTTCTCAGTTGCTTCTCATGGGTTGAAAGCAAGTCCCTATTACTGAAGACACTGCACACTTCAAACATAGGACTTGCTGGATCCAATGAAAAGCCTCCTTCCTGCAGTCTCGCTCTCATACTCTGAGAGGGTGCCATGTAAGTCATCACAGGAGGGAAGCAGTAAATCATCCTACCCTACTAAGATACATATGTACCATACCAATGAATTTAGTCCTGAGCATACACATGATGGTTTACAACTATCTGGAACTCCAGTTCTTGGGCATCTGATGCTTATTTTTGACCTCCATGGACAACAGGTATGACTTACATACATACATTCAGGCAAAATATGCATACACATAAGTAAATCTAGAAGTAAATAATTAAATAAATGAGCACATCTCATTTATAACATCTTTTATAAATATTAAAATTCTATGTATGTGTGTATGTCAAAGAATTATTTTTGAAACTTTCTCTGTGATTCATTATCAGTAAATGATTTATTTGTATACCCATTTCATATATCTATATATCTGAGGTCACATAAACATTTTCTTTATTAACAAAGTGTCAGGGGTGATGAAGTTTACAGAATCGTGGGAAAGCCATGTGGCACGTTCTTGCTAAGGTACTGTGAAAAGACATAAAAAGAATTACTTTGGAGTTAAGGATTAAGATTCTAGCATAAGGGCCTTGGAAGTCTTCCTTTTGCCTATCCAGTATCACAAGCAAAAGTATTCCTACACAGCTGTTTCATCAGGATGGGTCAAACAACATTAGTGCCCATTAATGTAATGTGGATTTAAAAACTAACAACTATCAGGATTTGAGAATGCAACACCATTGATAAAGTGCCTGATGGCACATAGTTTCTGGATTTGATCCCCAATGTCAAGTAAAACGAGGCATATGGTAAATGCCTATATTATAACTATTGTAAGATGGAGGCAGGAGAATCAGAAACTCAAGGTCATCTTCTGCTGTGGAATAATCCTTTGTACCCTGTGAAGATTTGTCACACTGACTCACTAATAGCTGAACAGAATAAAGTTAGGCAGGAAAGCCAAACTAAGAATGACAGGAAGAAGAAGGCAGAGAGAAGCAAGATGGGCATGCTGTATCAAGCCGCATGGTAAAGAATAGGCGAGAACTATGGCTTAATTTAAGTGTTAGAGCTAGCTAATGACAAGCCTGGGATATTGGCTGACCATTTATAATTAATATAATATAATATGTTTATTTGGGAGCTGCTGACAGGAAAGAAGCTTCCATCTACAATCTTTAGCTACACATGTGACTTCAGATGCCAGACTAGATTGCATCAGACCATGTTGGAAAACATGACACTTGTTTTACTTTAAACCACTGAGGACTCCAGGTTGTTATTGCTGAATAACATAGTATTTAGCCTCTTTTACCTCTCATTACTCAGGAATGGTTATTATATATGATGTGTACTTGAATTCGTATATTCTTGAGGCAAGATTTTCTTGAGCTAGGGGAAAAAAGCCAAGATTGCTCCCCAATGTAGTAAGGGATTGAAAAATGGTCACTGTATTTCATTGCTAAGACAAAGGCCATCCAGATGCTCTGGATATCAGAACCTCCAGAAAACCAGAGGAACAGCCATAGAGTTAGGGAATCTCATATGAATCAGGTAGTTTCAAGTAGCTTATGCCATGTGTTTGTCAACATACTGCTAAATAATTCTCACAAGAATAGGAAAGTTTCAATTACAATAGATTATAGGAGAGAAAATATTTGAGCACCTAAGAGCTAGATACAATATCAGTATTTTTCATTTGTCATATCATTAAATCACATATGATGCCCAAGAATTTTTTTTTAAAAAAATTGAAACAAGTTGTCATGTTTTACATGTCACAGTTCCCTCACCCTTCCATCCTCCCTGATCACCCCTACCAAACCCTAGCCCATCCCCTTTCTGCTCCCCAGGGAGGGTGAGGCCTTCCATGGGGAGTCTTTTAAGTCTGTCATCATTTGGTGCAGGGTCTATGCCCTCCCTCATGTGTCTAGGCTGAGAGAGTATCCCTTTTTGTGAAATGGGCTCCCAAAGTCCATTTGTATACTAGGGATAATTACTGATCCATTACTAGAGGCCCCATAGATTGACCATTCTCTTAACTAACACCTACATTTGGGGGGTCTGGTCAATTCTATGCTGGTTTTCCTAGACAAGGTCATTGAGGCATCAAGAACATTGAATAGAACAGTCACATGTCACAGAGTTGCAGCTGCTGGGATTTGGGTAAGCACCCTGGCCTCCCTTTGTGAGGTCTGCTTTATCTAAGACCTTGCTGTCAATGATACTCACTCATGGTTTTCTCACTGCTATCACTTCCATTTCAAGATAATTTCCTGTAGATCTGTGACTTGTCTATATTTGAATCATAGTGCAATCAGACACAAGTGAGTATGGGCTTAATGCCCAAATGTAGGCTATATCAAAAGCCACTATGGTCTTATCATTGGTAAACTTATGTATCAGCTCTAGGTTTGGCATTAATTCCTTGGGCCCAAGTTTTCACATTGGTAGTGATAAATTATATTTTAAATTGTATTTCACTTCTGACCTCTGAGAAAATGTCACAATCTATAAGACCTCTTAGTCAAGCCCTTTATTCTTACCTTGAGGCTTGCAGACCAAGTCAGCTCACCATTGGACACAAGGAAGCCCATTGTCTTAAATCAGTACAAGGTTCATATATTTAGAACAGTGATATTTGAGATAATAAAGCTCTTTAAAGCTTTAAAGAGAAACTGAACAGAGCTGATATCCCTAACTTTATCTCCTATTCTGGTGTTTTCTGATGAAAACTTCTGCCATGTATATGAATAAGCTTAGGGATCTTCAGGAAAGTCCATAGTCAAAGATGAAACTAACTCCTTAACTTCTTAATTACCCTGTTGGATTTAAAGGCAGAGACACAAAAGGAACCCACACCTCAGATCACATGATGGACATACCATTTCAGGAGAATCCCTTCTGGAAAATCTTTGGCAGAGGAGCTTGACTGTTGGTAACTGCAGAGGGATTTCAAGCCTTTGGAAGAGGTTGCTCAGCTGTAACTGGAAGAGAAACCCTGAAGAGACAGGATCCAGAGTCTTCATCTCTTTCAGAAGTTTGTCCCACAGACTGGAGTTCAGTGGATATGACTTGAGTTCTTTACGGACCAAAGTGAGTAGAAAAGAATCTTCTCTTGTCATTATACTTGGCCTTTGGACAATTTCCTAACACAACAAAGGACAGAAGTCTGAGGAGAGCTCTGGAACAAGACAGTTAAAGGCTTGAGGAGGAAGCAGAATTTACTGGGGCAGGTGTCACTGATTGCATCTACAGGGCTGGCATAGGATAAGACAAGATGGTAGTTTCATTAGTTTATGGGGCTTGGGATTTGTTCCTTAGGAATGAAAGAAACAAATCATCTGAGAGGACATACATAGGCTGTTTAATACCATTCACTGTCTTCCACAATGAACATAAAACATTTTGTCTTGAATAAAATTTTAGAGCAATAAATTTTAAAGAGTTGTCAGATTGACAAGCTTAGTGCTGTGAAACAAAGATGGATGCTGAATCAGATTTGGTTAACTGGGACTGCAGAAGCCTTTCTGGGAAATTTGGAGTGAAGGGAGTTGAGGTTTGTAGGTTTGTCAGTAAAGTCCACAGGGAAGATTCCTGCAAAACTGCTGAGTATGGAGATTATGACATCTGTCAGATCATCATCAGACTTTCTAATTAGTATTCCACATGAAAATACTCAGTCAATGACTAATGTTCATCACCCACACAGCTATAGAAAACAGGCCAATATTCAGGATACACACCTTAGGTTGTCCAGAGCTGTCCTTTGTTATATGTTCCAAGGACCAGTCTCTAGACTTTCTTCTGGGAAGACAGTGTATATAGGAAAGAGACTGGTCTCCAGTTGGTACAGAGCTACAGTAGACATTTGCATCATGGGAAATCTTAAAGAAATAAAGACAAATGTAAGCAAAGAACATAATGGGGAAGAAAAAAAGAAAACAAAGAGGAAGAATATTAGTAAACTAAACATATTCTTTCAGCAATTCCAGTTCTCAATGATCTTCAGCCCATGTAGTCACCCAGTTACTGAATTCCCAGTGAAGACTTTCAGCAATAGACAACTAACACATGTGAACAAAATGTTAACACACACAAGAAAATAGATAGAACATAATGTGTTTGTAGCCAAAAAGTATGTGTTCTCATCAGATATAGGAGTCTTTGTAGGATATTTTAATTAGTAAGCTCATAAAGGGTGGTAAAGACAATTATGAATTTTGCCAAGAATGAAAGAAACTAAAAATGTTACCCTTCAAAAATATTTTTAAATTTATAACAACATAATAATGGGTTTAAGGTCAAGGTTAAAGCACCATCTTATCATGCAATAGAATATGGTGAATTATTGATGCTTTAAACTTTTTCTGTATTTTATGATGGTTTATCAAGTTAGCTGACAGGGCCTTACTGACTGGGGAATATTGATCTGCCTAGGGATAGCTAGATCATGGGAACATAAAATGACTTGCTTGCAAAACACATTCCATAATCTAACTGGATGCTGCCTTTTTGTAATTGTCATACTTTAAATTATTGACTAGCTAGTACTGGTTTCAGATGCTCAGCAGCAATCCTTTTGTGCCAGTTTGGGGGAAATTCTTCAACTTAACCAGTAACCTATTTGTGTCGTCCCACCTTGATGATGCCAAGAAACTTCACAATTTTGGCCTTGTGTTTTCCCTTCAATGCCCTTTAATCTTTTGATTAAAGTGGGTATTTTTTCACATGTCCTAAATGGGACAGTGTACTAAGCTTTCTCAAATGCAGTCAGACTTTCCTTTATGCAACTGCCAGATCCCCAATAAGGACATGAAGATATAATAATTATTATGAAAGCTTGGCCTTTAGCTTAGGCTTTTCTAAAATTAGCTTTTATAACTTAACAAACCTGATCTATATCTTGCCATGTGGATTGGTTACCTCTCCTCTGTACTGTATGTCAAACTTGCTCCATGTTTTGCTGGCATAATCCATGCACCTAAATTCCTTCTCCTCATCCTCTCTCTCCATGGAAATCTTACTTATCTTCTCCTTCCTAGGTTTTGCACATCCAGATCTTTATTAAACCAGTCAGAAGGTGCAATGGCAGAGAGACTTCTTCATCTTCACAGTTTACAAAAAGATTATCCCATAACATTTCCCTCTTTTGGTGTAAATAAAAAGCAAAGGTCTTAACTCTAACACATTAAAACTATATGCAATAAGATCAATTGTTTGGAGAGAATTACATTCACAATGTCCAGTTCCTCTGTATTTGGCAAATTTGGAGACAGTTTTTTACTATCTATCCTATCATGGTGAATCCAAAGTTTTAATACTTCTTATTATAAGTTGTATTACCAACCTAAAAATATCTTTTTAGACCTTAAAATATTTTGTTAGAATCTCTTAGGTTCCTCCTTGTATCCTAGTTTCTCTGGCGGTATAAATTATAGGCTGGTGATCCTTTGCTGTATGTCTAAATTCCATATATGAGTGAGTACATACCTCTCTTGTTTTGTGACTGGGTTACCTCACTTAGGGTGGGTTTATTCAAGTTCTATCCATTTGCCTGCAAATTTCAAGATTCCATTTTTTTTTCTGCTGAGTAGCATTCCATTGTGTAAATGTGCCATATCTTCTTTATCCATTCTTCAGTTGAGGGGCTTTCAGGTTCTTGCTATTACAAATAATGCTTCTATGAATGTAGTTGAACAGATATCTTTGTTGCATAGATTTGGGTATATGCCTAAGAGTGGAATTGCCAGGTCCTGTGGTAGACTGATTTTCATTTTCCAAAGAACAGCCATACTGATCTCAAAAATGGCTGTACATGTTTGCGTTCCCACCAGAAGTGGAGGAATGTTCCCCTTTCTCCACATCCTCCAGCATTAGCTGTCATTGGTGCTTATAATTTTAGCCATTCTGACAGAATTAAGATGGTATCCAAGAGTTGTTTTGACTTGCATTTCTCTGATGGCTAAGGATTCCTCTATTGAGAATTATCTATTCAGTTCTGTATCCAACTTTTTAATGGGGTTATTTGGTGTTTTGGTGGCTAGTTTCTTGAACCTAAGTTTCTTGGGGGGCAGTGAGTGGAGAAGGAGTTAGGAGAAAGAGAATGGAGGAGAGGAGAACATGTAGGACTAGGAAGATTCATTTGGGGGGCGAATAGACGAGAGCAAATAAAAAGAGATACCATTATAGAGGGAGCATTGTAGGTTTGAAGAGAAAACTGACTCTAGAGAAATGTCCAGAGACCTATAATGTTGGCCCCAATTAACAATCTGAGCAACAGTGGAAAGGCTATCTTAAATGTCCTTCCCTGATAATGAGATTGATAACTAACTTATATGCCATCATAGAGCTCACATCTAGTAGCTGATGGAAACAGAAGCAGACACACACAGCTAAACACAGAGCCAAACTCATGGAATCCAGTTGCAGACAGAGAGGAGTGATAAGAAAAGGGGTCAATACCAGGCTATAGAAACCCACAGAGACAGCTGACCTGAACAAAGGACCACCAGACTGATAGCTGAGAAACCCGCATTGGACCAACTCAGACCCCCTGAACATGGGTCACAGTTAGAAGGCCTGGGCAGTCTAAGGGACCTCTAACAGTGGAACTAGGATGTATCCCTGGTGCACAAAAGGACTTTGGGAAGCACATTTCCCATGGAGGGATACTCCTTTAGCCTAGAGGCAGGAGGGAGGGCATCGTCCCTCCAAATGACTTGATAGATTTTGATGATCCATCCTGGAAGGCATCACCCTCCCTGTGGAGTCAGGGGGAGGTGGGATGGGAGGGGCTTGACAGATTTGGGAGGGAGAGAGGGAGAGGCTGGGATCAATATGTAAAATAAGAAAAAATAATAAATATAAAAACAAAACATTTTGTTAGATAAACAACTTAAGCCTTTATGTCTCTCAACCTTTATGCATTTTACATATTTTTAAGTTCTGTTTTGAATTTATTAATAAAAAAATGGTACAACTATTTAGTCTTCAACCCCATCAAAGACCTAAGAAGAATAATATTACCTGAGTAAACAGGAACTTCAGAGCAAATGACTTCCAAAACTATAGAAATGATAGAGACATTTGGCTGCCTGGGTAGGCACACAAAGTTCCTCTGCAACATTGGGGCATCTATCTTCAACCTATAGGTCTAGAATATTTTACATACCTTTTTATTATGCAGGAATTTCTGAAGGACTGTTTTACCTTGTCTTGGCAAATTTGGACAGTGACCTTCAACAATGTTCATTTGTGTTCTGCTTGTCCAATTTGGATAGCATACTTTCAATAGTCAAAACAATAGCAATTTCTTTGGCCAGTGGCTAACTTTGTCTCAATGGAAAAAAAACTACATTTGAAGGTTCTAAAATGTCTATCATACTTTTTTGAAGTAAATTGGTGCTTCCAGGAGCAGATGTGTCTCACTGTCATTAAATCCTTATGTTATTATTACATTTTAAGTTCCACATTCTGTAAGTCTCTGAAGAGTTTGAAGACTATTTATTTAAAATACATCTTTGTTCAACCTTGAAAACTTATCTAACATAAATATAAGTTTGATTGTTATAGATGAGTAACTACTGGCTATATTTCTTAATTATCCTAAACAGTTTGTAATAATAGCCTTTAAGGATTAGAACTTGACATTGCATTTTTAAATGAAGTGCATAGGTATACAATACCTCAAACAAGAGGAGAAATATATAAATGTATATATGTATATATATATATCATATTAGAAAAAATAACCATAAATTTGTATCAATATACAGAAATTCATACCAATATAAAATATTTGAAATTAGTAGTTGCTTTTTAGTTTAAAAATAGATTCAATAATCTACCCTTTTATCTTATCATTTCTATATCCTATCTCTTTTTTTTTTCTTTCCAGAATAATACCACTGAATTTAATCTCATTTGCTTAGTTTTTTTTTTTTTTCCTGATCATGACAAGGAAGAATGACAAACATTTGTAATTCCCCAAATGACCTATTAGGAGTGCAGGCATCATGTTCTCTAGGCTGCTTCCTGTTGTCTGGCAGTGACAGCACCTTTAGGAGACCCTGAGAAAATTGGAATAATGGTCCAGTCCTTGGAGATCTAGGTGTATTATTATTATTTTTTCTTTAGCCACTGTATGATGGGAATGTGTAGAGTTTATCTGAAGTCCTGGCTGGTGTGGTTTGAAAGGCGGGACAATCTCACTTAGCAGCTTTGAAGTTGCATTGGTTGTAGAATTTTGAGGAACATGCACTAGAGACATTTTAAGAGGCTGCACAACCTGGGCTACTGTCTTCTTAGTGTCTGTTCCGTGATTTCTGAGAATACAAAAACTTTCAAAGGTAACATATATATCTATATTAACCTAAGTACGGAATTGAGGTGTTCACAAATCTGCTAAAGATAATTATTTTATTTTATCTTTGAGTAGGTAAAAGGCATCCATCACTTTATAAGTCTGTTTTGACTATATAACCAAGCTGCAATATAAATGTGTATGTATACTATATGAAAGGATGACATGTAATATAATAAGTCATAAGGTCTCTGTAACCAACAAGATTTATGTCTCATCCATTCTTTGAGTTGTTTCTATGTCAAGGAATCAACTCTTGTCACCTGCCTTGTAGTTTTTCTCTTTCTTTTGTTCATGTCTGTAGCCAAGATTTTGAGGAGGTTTCTTCTAACCAAATCTGATTTTTATTAATTTTTGAATAAGCCCATAGCTTTTTGTTTCCTGTGGAAATGCAAAACCTCTCTTCCAAAGAGAGGTTTCTTGACTTGACATTTCTTGACTTCCATTCTGAAGTTAAGACACTTAAAATTTTTCCCATTCTTTTTATTCCTGTCTTTCAAATCATATATCTCTAGCTCATTC